TAATATGTATAGAATTCTCAATGGCGTTGCTACTATGTTGAATTCTATGTATTTTCGGCGAACCAATGTCATGATGAGCCTCGACGTACTGTTAGAGGTATGAAATAAAGGAAAATGATTTATTAAAACATTACTTAAATAGTATGAGGGTAATATTGCACATCAACTCAACAAATATATAATTAACATATTATATAAAATTAGTACTTTTATTCATCTCTAATGAAGCTTAAAACATTTATATGTGGCAGTAGGATCACTACCACATTCTATGAATTTTATGTATTATTTAATGTAACAATGACTATGTTGTCATATAAACTGGTACAAAGAACCAGCATGGGTAAATAGCAAAGATCGATGTTTAGCTTCTACAAGCACTAATGATATGATATATCAATTAATTGTTCAATCATTTAATTTTTGGGACAACTTATATACCGAATAAATGATGTATCATATCGCAGGTGCCTCTCTCTCTCTCTCTCTACAAGAAGTTAATCATTTTCAAGAGTGTTTAGCTGACGTGCAAGAAAAAATAGACATTATAAAAAGGACTGTCTATGTATATTTATAGAGACTCTTCTAAAAGAATTAAATCACCATAATTTAATATATATTCTCTCTCTCTCTCTCTCCCTCTCCCTCTCTCTCTCATGTTTCTTATCTTTTCTTTCCGATTTTGTTTCTCCATACTAAATATACACGAGATGAAATTTTAACTAAATTGTCAATTTATTAAATATTAATAGAAAGCTTTTATATTTAAATATCACCTAATTACAATCCATAAAATTTTGTGAGATTGCTAAGATACTATCCCAAAACAGTCCAAATCATTGTGTTATTGCCACCTGGTCCAAACAATTCTTCACCTCAAAATATATGAAGGAAGAGGGATGCCACACCAGGGAGGGGTGGTTTGGTTGACAATCTCTCACATTGGTGGGCCACCCACTGTGAGAGATTGTCTACCTCTCCTGTCAACTTTTTTCAGTACAAATGGAAAAGCCCACGAAGGAGACATAATTATTTCAGATGAAATGATGATTAACTTATGTCACATCATGTCGTCATATTGGCTCTTTCTTGGCTCCTTTTCAACTTTATTATTATATTAAGCACATCATGTCGCCATTCAAAAGATGTGGTTGTTTGACAAAACTTTTATTAAATTTTTTTGTAAATGTCAATAAAAAAAAATTATAAATCCATAATAACAAAGTTAATAAAAATAGTGAGTCACATAAAATATGTTATTAAAATTAATTATTGATTTTGAATAAACTTTTTAACAATTTTAACTTTTCCCAAACAAGCACTCAATGTCAAAGAAGTATTATCCGAACATTAAATGTGCTCTTTATTACAAGTATGAAATTTGTTTGGATATAAATTATTAATTAAATGTGTTTTGATTAATTTAAGAATGATATTATTTAGCCCCACTGGAGTTATAACCACATCCTTATTACTCTTGGTTTAATTTTCGACTTAAAAAATGTTATACTTGTCTATCTTTTATTGATAGGTAGAGGAAACAGATGGGGTAAATGTGTGTGTGTGTGTGTGTGTGTGAGAGAGAGAGAGAGAGAGAGGAAGTGTGTGTGTGTGTGTGTGTGTGAAAAATAAAAACATACTCGTCCTAAAGAAAATGTTTTTTGTATTTTTGAAGAATTATGATCACGTGACCAATTTTTGAAAAATACTTTTCATGAAAAAAAATTTCAACCAAACACCTCCAAAAGAAGAAATTTGGATGAAAAAATAACATTTTATGAAAAATAAAGTCAATCAAACACACTCTAACATATATAAAATAGAATCGAATTGAATTAATTCATGTAGTTGTCTTGTTGTCATGTGTGTCTTCTCATAATATGATCTCGAATTTAGTTTATAGAATGCTTTTTAAGTTTAGATAAATTGGTTACAACTCAATGACGCTAAATTTTTATCACTTAGTTCATTTTTGGATAAACTTAAAAGTGTACTTGTTAGTAAATGCTTAAATTTTTCAATATAAATAAATCATATTGGTTAAATTAACATAAATAAATTACTTATTTTTAAAAAAGTAAGTCTTGCCATATATTAGGGTTGTACCTCCCCTAAAAAAAATAAGATTAATCATTTTTATGAGGACTTGCATTAAAGAAGAACGTTGTTTTTATTTAAAAATACTATTCAACAATAGCTAGTGGGTACAAAATTCTGAATATAATCTATCTTATGCAAAATTGTTTTATGTACTGAAAACGTACATAAAATACGTCGATGATCTTGTTATGAAAATAATAGAATTTCTATTCGTTAATCTAATTCATTGACCATTACGAACTTAAGCCTATGTTTCAATCAGGTTTAAACACTTAAATCATTTTTTATTCACTACTCTTTTCCATCCTTAATAATTTAAATCGAATTCATAAACCCTTCCCAAGAAACAATTTTTGTTCATCCTTTAAATGAATTGTATCATATTGTGATAAATAGTATATTATGTTGGCTGAAATATTCAAGATGGTGTATGTTGCAGTTTTTATATCGCAGGTGTACGATATCGTAATAAGTCCGAATTGTCGTTTTCACGATAACTATACTTTAATACTTAATTTATTATTTATAACTTATATTTGATGAAAAACAAAGAATTGTGATTTGATTATTGTTTTTCTAACATTATATCTACTAATTGAAAATAGTAATATGCACACAAAGATCGATTGAAAATTCAAATATGGAATAGATATTAGAGCATAACAATTCATCTATTGATCACTTTTAAATCATAATTCAATATTCATAAATATAATGTAGTGTTCGATCAAATTATTCTATTGTATTCAATTTACCCCTCTCGAGTTCTCATTGAGTATTTAACCCATCCAATTACTGAATTACATAGTTCTATGTGAATCAATCTTAGTTAAACATATTATTTGTTATAAGAATTCATACAACAGCCGCAATAATTAGCATGGATATCTCTACATGTTATATTAAATTACCGAATTTTAATCTGTGGTCTAGATATAAATCTCATCTCTCAATTAGTAAAAGATTCACAAAATTATTGAATTATTAATTAAGTAATTCAAAGCATTAAATGCGTGAATAAAATCAACACATAAACTTTCAAAGAAACAAAATCTTGAATAAAAAAAAAATAGAAGTCTCAAATTGATTACATTGTTCGTCATAATAAAGAGTTCAGCTAATCATAATGTATGAAGAAAAGCAAATAACAATAATGGAGTACATCACCGAGTTTGAATTGAGATGTAGCCCCTGTTTGGGCTCCATTATTTCACATTTTAACGAGGAGACAAGTATTTTTTTTGGAGAATATGTGGTTGAAAAAAAAAGAAATTTTTTTATATTTATATGTAATATTATTTTATTGAAAAATATGTGGTTAATAAGAAGAGAGAAAAATGATTTTAATTTAATGGAGGCCAAACAGGGACGTAAAGAAGTGAATGAATCTTTCACAAGTTCTTCTTCTTGTTCTAAATCTTGATTCAAAACCCTTGATTTATTATTTTTCGCATTTGATTTTGCTCTCCAATTCTCAAGTTATATTTTGTGTATCTCGATGTGTGGAACCTCTCTCAGGTGCCTCCATTCTTGTATTTATACATCTCTTATTGTTTTTCCCGAATTTGGAGTTTTCATGTGTTTTAAACGGGCCAAAAATATGCACTCTAGATGACAGCAGCGGTGCCTCGACGCCATGGGAGTGTTGACGCGAAGAAATCATAGGTGGCACCTCAGTGCCATCTTTCTGTTAAAATTTTGCGCCTAGGCACTATGATAGAGGTGCCGCGGCTTAACCTCTCGAGAAAAAATCAGCACTACATTTTTTTTAGTATTTTTATCATAACTTTCTTTTTCAATATCCGATTGAGGTGATTTAAATTGTGTTGTAAACTTTCCTTGAAATAACTTTTTTCAAATTTAAACGTTTACTAAGTCAAAAATGGGTTTCAATCTCGGGTTAAAATCTGGAATATATTTGTATAGTTGAAAATTAATTTATGAAAACATTTTGATCATATTTCACTCTTTTTTTTTTTACTTCTAATTGCATCAATTTGAGCACTAACATCAACTTTTGAATATTTACACTTTAGCCCCCAAACTTTGAATATTTCCTTTTTTTTCGCCGATTTTCACTTATTTCTTTCAATTTCATTTTCATTAATTGATTTTCACCTAAAAACACATTATATAATAAATTAAACTAGAATTTCTTTAAATAACTACAAAATATCAATATTTTAGAATCCGACTAAGTGTACAAAATACACTTATCAGTGCACCATTTTTTGGACTTGATTTAAGTAAAATTGCAATTCTCATTACACATCGATTGAAAATTTCAAGAAATTAAAGACTAAGAAAATTCAAAATTCGCTTCACTGCAATGGTCAGATTCAAACACAATGTGCATAATTGTGAGGCTGCATATAAACAATGTTTGAGATGAAATTGAAAAATTGGTAAGATATGAAAAAAAATATATTTTATAATTCACCTTAACAAACAAGCCGTTGACATATAAAAAAAGTTCGAAAAACACAGAACGATGTTTGATAAACTTTTTGTAGATTATAATTTGTGAATCCTAAGAAATGGATAAATAGTGAAATAAAAGTTGTGAATACTACAAAACGTGGATAAAAATAATATCTAACCTTAGCTTATAATTTTAAAAAAATTTGCCAAACATACCCATAATTTAGCAGCAAAAGAAGCAGATTGCAAATAGTTGAAACTTGGAGGGCGGAAAAAAGATCATTTTCTCACATTGTCTATAGTATATCAAGGGTTTTCCTCAAATTATAAAAGGGCTCTCTCCTTATAAAGTGAAAGCCTACTCCAAATAATCAACCTCTCCTTAAACTTTGGAAAACACGATAATTTTCGTGAATAACAATTCCTAGTTTGCACGTCCAAGCAGTACAACACAACAAAATGGCTATCGAACACAGTACTCAGGCACTAGGGGCGTATTCCTGTATGATAGCTGCCAATTGATTCCGATCATCCTCAGTCTTAGTTCTCATCAAGAAGGTCCGTGCAACAACTTCGTTGTTATCGCCATCGCTCTGCGAAATCCAAGTAAACTCATCCCTCAGAATTAAAAATGCTTCAGGAAAAGTTACTAATAGAAATCACACATAATATTTTCCTATAGCTAGTTCAGCAAAAAAAAAAAAATAATAATAATAATAATAATAATTGGAAAAAATTGGAAATAAGTTACTTATTTTGAAGGTAAGGTCAGGGTTAATAAGTTTTTTTAACTCACAAGTAAGAACAAGTCAAATTCTTCCAAACATGTAAAAAAAATAAAAAAAGTTCTAAAAAACTAATTGTTACTTTCATTAATTTTTTATAAGCTTAACTAAACATTTACTTTGTTCCAGAGACAAGCAGAAGTTCTTCCATTGTTCTTCCAATAAATAAAAAAAAGAAAATCTGATCAGATGGGAATAATACGACATGTTTACACTAACATCAGATAACAAAAGTATCTATACTACAAAGAAATAAAAGAAGCACAAACGAAAAATCAGATAGAGGATGCATACCGTATGAAATATTGCAACAACTGCATTCTTTTGCATATTTGTCTTGATGCCTGGATATAACAATGCATTGAGCAACACTTTCCCGACCTGCAACAAGTGAACGACGCTCCAAAATTTTTTATTAAAATGCACCCAAACAGGTATTATTATTTTTTTCCTTAGCATGCATAAAATGTGCAAGAAAATTCCAAAAAGAACGTCTTTAGCTGAAAATTTTCTACTTCCACAAGATAAAAGATCCAACTAATCTGGCTATCCATCACAAAGATACAAGGCCGCATAACTGAAGAATAATGCAAAACACATTCATTAACACATAATGCGAGCTGCATACTAGAGTGGGACCAGAATATATCAGGATACCTACATCATTTCGTATAACGATGGTTGGCTTAGATTCTCTGGTTCCCTTGCTCACGCCTTCCTTACATTTGATACAAAGTTGACCCGTGCCTTTGTCTTTCCAAGCATCTTTGTCTGCTGGATCACTGGACTGGACATATGGAAAAAGTAAGTATGAGATTAATGCACCAAAAAGCATAAACAGAATGAAACAGGTTGAGCATCTAAAGACATCAATTACACAATAAAACTTGACAACCAATCACCATTTGAAATATCAAATGCACTATCTTATACCCAAAATATCTATACCCATACATTGGAACTATAGCATAGGATGTGTGGAGCCTAATAATATTGTACACTTTCCCTTTGACTGCAGTTCAACCTTTGCGGTACCCCTCAACCCCACCCACTGGTGTGGGAGTGGGGTCAGGAGCCCCCGAAGCAAAAATTTTCAAGTGTGATATAGGTACTTTGGGAAATTTGCACGTGTATTAGGTTGCCTAATATTTAGTCCAAGATTATCAGGGCAAGCCTCTTTTCGTTGTAGAGATAAAATAGAGGCACGAGTCCAGAAGCATACTGTAATCCTCTCCTTCGATATGGAAAATTTTTATAGCCATATCGAGTGGAAGTAACTCTCGCATTGAGAGTGAAGCACTCTAATTCACGTGTTTTTCTTGCTTTCATTTTCTGTTTCGTGTTACTAATTTCTCTGGGTAGGAAGGATTAGTTGTTTAATCCATAACATATAGCATCAAAAGCCTAAATAATGAACATAAACCTAGTTCAGTAAAATGAGATCTTGCTACTTTTAGCAAACAAGAACACAAAGGTTAAAATACTTTTCAATTGATCAACAATTGATAGTGCACTGTGCACAAGAAATTTCTTTGTCTGCGCTAATGAGCGTCAAGATGTGATTGGATATGTTTATGCCTAAGCATGCATGAGTACAAGTAGAATGTATACAGCAGGTCTAAAGCCTTAATGCACTCCATATTACTACTCAGGCCAAAAGCTCCCCACCAAAAGCATATGGAATCAGAATGAAAGCATGTAAAAGTTGCTAATAAGATGAGGACTCTGAGGAAAGTATTGCTTCTTCAAATGAAAATCTAGTAAATTGAACGAGGGCAACACAGTTATATCTTATGACGGCATTTGCTCTCTATTTTGTCAGATTGATAATTACCTTCACATAAAGTTTGCATTTGACCTCGTGTACTACATTAATTCCCTTCTCTTCGCTCTTTTTCACAGAGGGGCTGCTGGGCTGCTCAGCATCTTCTTCTGTTACAAGAAATTAACAAAGAACACAAAAAACGAAAACATACATTAAAACAAGTCTGAATTGCAAAAATTATTTTTATTAGTTTATATATATAATTTGCATAATAACCAATAATCGTAATTCATGATTGATAAATAAGAAATAAACATTGTTAATAGTACAGAGAACATTTATTGAAAATGTTCTGATCCCAAATCAGTGCCAGTTCAAAAAGTTCTCCTAGATATAGCCTTCTCACTGAAACAGTTGAAAACATCCAAGACAACTCTTGTAACATGATAAGATTGACCAAAAATATCTATGAACAGCCTCTTTATTTTCTTCAAGTCTAAAACTGCTAACTAGTATGTGAAATTATCCATTTTGCATGGTGCAAAAGGATGCATTAATAGAGAGCAGCATTATATGCTTCATACAAAACATTTTTTTCACCAATTGAGGAACATAATGCGCGACAATTTTACAGTTAACAAAATTTTGTTGCTTGACATGATAAGGTCATAAAATGAAAAATTTTATGGGTTCTACCGACTTCAGCCACCATCTTCAGAAGTCCTTTGAAAGACCAATTGCTACGGAAAATGATGCTACCAGTTATAAGACTGGAAAGAAATGGTATAGATTAATTGTCATAAAATAAAACCATCCAAAATGATTCAACCGATTTATATACGAGGAAGCAAGCATCTCCCTATAAGTGATGTGCATAACGCCATAATAGGGAAGGTTATCTCAGGAGGGGGAATTTCAGGCTGTCCAGTTACCTTTCTCAGTAACGCTAACTCCATTTGTACAGATTTTTCTGGTGGTAAATTCTATTAGATGGTTTACAGTAAATATCAAATCAGTTTCTATGCCTACTAATATACAATGATTCACTGAGACAATAATTTCAAGAATATATAGCGCAACAAATTGTTCCAGAATGACTGTTAAGTTTCATTATCAATTTAATAAAGAACTTTCTCTCTTACCAGCATCTCCATCATTTGAAGCATCATGGTTTGGGAGAACTGAATTTTGATTTTCAGGAACTGAAACTTGGCTTCCTGGACAAATAAGGATATCAAAAGCAGAAATTATCATTATGAATAAATTCATTAATTTCCTATTCAATAACTAATTAAGCAGGTGTTACAATGACCAATAAAAGAATAATTGAGTGCATTTGTAAACTTTAACTTCATTTAATAACTAATAGCTAAAAGTAATAAAATTAAAATAGCAGTAAAGGCACAGCATAAAAATTCTTGTATTGTATTATCAATAAGCTCATCAAATTTGAACAGCTATCGCATCCCGCTTTCCTTCTACTTATTTTTGAAAGAAGTACTGAAGTACCAGTGCCATATTCATAGTTACATTAACGCAACCGATAATGGCAGAATATAAATATATATATACACACAAAGCTATATACATACATGAACTATCTGAATAAATTATGCCTTCTAAATTCACTTATCACGACAAAGGATAACAAATAAATTTGTTGAAAAGATTTTTCCAGAATAGCACCTCCAAAAGTGAGAGGCTTGTTATCGCTCAAGAGCAGTCCTGAGCTCCACGACATTCCAAAGTTTGTTGTTGTGGCAGCGGGAGGAAACATGGGTTTGTCCAGTAATAACTTATTATTGTTTTCCTTGCTTCCAACTTCAAAACCAGGTTTCTTTTGAGCATCATGAGAACCCAACTCTGATAAACTCTCTCCTTTTCCAGCATTTGCTTTCAGCCAGTTGACTACGTCACTAAATTTCTCCTGCAATCAAAGAAAAGTTCGATAAATTATTACCTGCAGTATAATTTAAAGAAAGACAATTTTATTCCCAAAGTTTCTTCATATAGAATGCATTTCTCTTCTGATCAAATAGAAATATGAGATGTAACCAAATAATGAATCGTTCCATAGTCAACTTCGACAAGGGAATAGAATCTGTTCTAATAGACAAGTGACACTTTAATGAAATAAAAAGCATGACAGTTCACTCTGTATAGGGGACTGCCATGAACATGCTAGAGAAACTGATTTGGGAGCCAAAGGAGATTAGTGATCTTATTTTGTGAAGTTCCATATCTTGTTTCTAAATCGAATACATAAAGATAACATAAAGGTGTTTGCTCATTAAAAGTAAGAATGAAACAACTCCAGATTTCGAAATATTTGCATATGAGTGGATTCAAAAGGTTAGTCATTAGGAATAAAAGTATAAAACTGGGTGAAGAAGTTGGTTTTGTGGTGGAAGAGTGGATGGTTTCCAAAAGATTCTAACAAATCAAAACGCAAATTAGGCTAATCAGGATTTCTCGCAACTTATTCATTAATATTAGTAAGTTGCACATGTATGCCAGCTCAATTGTTTTTATACTTTTGGCATCCAATGCCAGGTGTAGCATGAATACGAGTAAAAGCTTGTTGAAGTATCACATCTCCGAATTTCTGTGCCTTTTATTCAATGTTGCATCCGAACTTAAAGACTGGGAATTACCACATGCAATTAACCACTTTCAACAACAAAATGTCTGATCATTTGTACCTGGACATAATTGAAGCATTTAAATAAAGGGTAATAATAAGAAGGGCACCCAAACAGGCGCTTTCACTAAATTAACCGTGCATATTACAGTTCAAGTCTTCAGGTGTTATAAAGGACCTGGGGATGCATTTAAAAGAAACTGACAAATTACCACAACGTTTTTAGCATGGTTTAGATAGTCCTGCACACCATCATCCCACAGCTCATCCGGATGGTCTTGTAACTGAGTTTGCACCCAGCTGCTCAAAATTAAAAGAATTTCTAAGGATGTGCATTATACAGCATTCAAAAATAGTATATTTAAGGAAATCCAAAATTTCACATCAAATAAAACACGAATATGCGGTCATTATACACAAAATTTTGGAGCTGACCAGATGAACCAAGGAAAAGTTATTCGATAATCATTGAGTAATTTATCCAGCTGTTCAAAGAAAAACATAAAATAATAAAAATAAAAACTAGTATTTACTACTCTGTGCCAGAGATTGTACATTGCTGTCATCATTGATTATCTTTTCCACTAAAACTGATCAAAGTTGCATAATCATCAATATTAACAGAGTATTAATGCTGCCAGTGAGCCTAATACCGTTACAAGATACAACCCCAAAACATTGCTTACACTTCTTATTAGGAAAGATAGAGTCCTGCACAATTTTCTTTATGATGTATTAAAAAGTTCACAAAATACAAACGTTTATACAGGACTAGTCTTTACTTCTTAGTACTTCCACTTCAAAGTTAAAAGGAAAAAAAAGTAGAGCTATTTTCATTTATCTTTTTGCCTCCAAACATGTTTCGAAAACCTACTTTTAACAACAAAAAGTTAATTTGGTTAAAGTAACTCAACTATCCCCAACTCTCATCAATAAAAAATAATTTAATCTATTACTTACATTTTTACTTATAAGTAAACTTTTTAAGCTTAACCAAGGATGCTTTGTACCTTTTGCGAGCATTATTAGCAATTATTAAGTAAGAAAACTATCAATGAAGCACAAAAGACGCTCGAGAAAAATAAAAGAAAAAAATTGGACCTTGCAAATTGGGTATTAAGAGCTCTCACATGCTGTCTTGATGATTCAGCCCTCTGCATATCCAATGGCGGCAGCTGCTTCGGCTGAATTGACGTTTCTGACCTCTGTGCATCAAACGGTGACCCCATTATTACTCTCTTGCTCTGCATCTGCACAACACCAAAACCTCAACACAAATTAAAGAAGAAACAATTGAATATAATTAAAAATAAAATCCACTAAACACGTCTCAGTACACAGAATCACACAAACACATACAAAAGAGTCGTTAGAATTGAAGATAGGAGCGGAATCAGAAGAAGCAAGACGTTTAGTTCCTCTCATTATCACTTTGATATGATTGTTTCAAATTTTTTGCTTATATATTTGAAGAGAGAGATTGAAATTCCCAGGTTTTGAATTTGAAAAATTAGGGCTTTTGGACGAAAAGGCCAAAAAAGGGAATTTTTTTATTTTTATTTTATTTTTGGAAATTCGAGTGTAATTATTGGCGTATTTTATTTGTGGGAAGGAAGGGGTATATAGCCGTTAGATCAGGTGAGGCTTTGAAGATTTAATTTCAACCGTCAGATCGATTGATTCTGAATGTGTTGAGAAATTATCACCTGGGCCACGTGCTAATGCGGCTTCAAAGGTTTTGGGCCCATTGTCGGGCTCATGAATTAGCCTTCATCTTTCGAAAATGTGAAAATTACACCACAACGTATATTTAAAGATGACAATTTTAAAATCATGTATAAAGTTTACTTGAGCATAAATCAGGTATTAATCAAAATTAAAAATAGGGTGTGTCTGGGCGCAATTCTCACGAAATGGGAATCGATTTTTGAACAGTTACTTTTTGCCACGTGCCTGCAGATTTTGGTCATTCAATAAATTTACATGGCTCAATTACCATTTTGCCTTCACTTTTGCAGAAATGTACTGAAATGGTATGACACATTTGACTAATTCAACAAGGGATAATTAATGGAGGGCATAAAGGGAATTTTCCTCTGACACGTTCTTCAGTCCATTTTGTGAATTTTTTACCGTCGTGGTCTGCAACGGTAAAAAAGTCGCTTTTAATCAAATTAAAAGCGCTCCCAGACGAGCCCATAGTCTCTCATCTCAATCTCTCACTCGCACTCTCTCTCAACTCTTACTCTCCGACTAGTCTTGCACCGTATGTCTGAGTTATGATTTTTTCTCTTCGTCATCGGAGCTACAACCAGCAAAGCCACGCACAGTGGTGTGTGACTCTTAGTTCGCCACTAAGCACCACAGATAAGTGCTACGACGGTGATCTAAGCGTCGCGGATTGACGGTTCCGATGAGCTCCATCCAATGCTAACCCAATCTAACCTAGTTAGAAAATTCAAATTCTAGCTCAATTTTAGATAGCTCGATCAAGAAGAAATGCTCCCAATTTGTTAGACTTCAGATTTGGTGTTGGGCCACTGCGATTTGGCTTTGGGGTCGTCGCACTATGCTCGGTCGCCACGCTATGTCGCGGGCCACCACGATGCTTTTGGTGTGTTTCTTTCTCCGATTTGATGCTTCACCGGAGTTTTGGCATTGGAGATTTACTTGGTTGTTGGGTTGTTAGTGGTGATGGTGGTAGTGCGATAGTGGTGGTCGTTGTGGAACGTTGGTGGTGGATCAATATCCATAGGTGGTGATGTTGGCCGTGTGTATGTTATAGCCGATTGAGTTTTTGTGACCAATCAAGAGATTTGGTCACAAGCCATATATAATATGGCACATGCCAAAGTGTATAGGCTACAGGTTTTGAATTCAAGAGATTTGGTTACAAACCCAAGAGATTTGTTCATGGGCTATTGAATCAGGTCTACACAGTCACGGATTCAAGAGATTTGGTCACAAACCATTGGCTTAAGTCACATGTCACATATCCAAGAGATTTGGTCACAAGTTATTGGATCAGGTCACATGTCATATGTCAAAAACCCTAGCTTACATGTTACATATTTAAGAGATCTGGTCACATGCCATTGATTTCTCCGACTTCAATTACCTGAATTGGCACAAATTCAATTAACCAGATTTTGACGGTGAGAATTGAAATTATTTGCTCCTGTAAGTATTCTGTAAATTACAGCAGGGCCTGTTTTTCAATTTTCAAATTTAAAAAATCGTTTTAAATTACACCAGTACTAATGAGTCGTTGATGAAAAATATGGTCAGCAATCAGCGATGCTCAGTCGGTGCTCTCCAAAGGCCAATATGTTTCTCCCTCTATCTTTACTATCTGAGCCGACAATGCTCATGTTTAACACTGAAGAAGTCGCGTGACGGGTGGATACCGACAACTATAAAAGGGGATATCGACGAGCAGGTGCTCGATGGTGGGTGGTCGTGGGTAGATTAATTTAATTTGATAAATTATTATTTAAAATTAAAACAGAATTAACACCTGACTTTCACATTTTTAAACTTAATGTCTGGAAATTAATTTGGTACGTACTTATGATTTTTTTCCCTTGAAAAATGACTTGAACCATGATTTTCATATGAGCCGCTATTTACATCCACCATTATTATATACATATCCACTTTTTAAATATTAGTAGATAAAGTTAGAGTGATATCCATAAAATACTATCTTTAGCTAGATCAAAACAACAATGAAAGAGATATCATTAGAGCAAATACAGGTATAGCAATATATGAAGAAGAAATTGAAAATGTAAGGATTAACTTTTATTATGGGTTTGATGATTTAAGTATGTGAATGATTCTTGATTTGTGTTAGGTTATTACATAATATGCCTTTTGAATTAAAATAGTATCAGTAAAGAATTTCATACCAAATTATTTGAGTTTTCTATTGAGATTGTCTTTTCTTTTCTTGATTTTCTTGAATTGAAAACATTGATGGCTTGATAGTGGTCCCAGTCAAAGACAAATAAAATGGTGAGAAAATAATTCTCTTTTGAGTGAGAATGGTACCACGAATTTGGAATAAACTTTGAGATGATTTTTATTACAGTTGAATACCAGTTTAAATAGTTGAGTGGCAACATAATGCCTATCCTCAAGGCCCATGATAAATACAATTCAACAACTTTAGTTTTAACAGAAAAACAAAAATAAACGTGCACTCCTTGTGTGAAATAGATTGCCTTGGGCTTGGTCTTGCGTCCAGGCATCTACAACCTCTTCATATTATGTCATCATGGTACTCGGATTCCTCCTAAGGGCTTTGCTGGATCTTCGTGGTCCATCAATGCCCGTTCGATCAAGTGGATCCTTGTTCCCAAGGTCTACTACATGAAATTGTTCTCTTCATATTTCTGTTTTCTCCTAGGTAGCTTTCCACTGCAGGAAATTGTTTTTTTAATATTTCTGTTTTTTCCTAGGTAGCTTTCTCTGCTGATAATCGTTTCCAATGTACTAAACTTTCCTCAACAAACTTGTTACCTTGTTTGATCTAACGAGTGTTGATGATGTGCGCTGGCTCGAGCATTACAACCCTTACACTTGTAACAGGAGGTAAGTTGAGACTGACTGTGTTTGGATGCCCCCCATATATTTCTTCAGTAATGGCACGTGAGAAACGGATGGATGTGTGATCCTTTTGGTAACTGTAGCTTGTATGCCACCTTGTCATTTTTTTTTCAGAATAGGATAGGGCCCAAAAAATCAGCTAGTTAATTTCTAGTGGGCTCTTTTGAATGCGATACAATGTGATACTTTGGCGGTAAGGTTGGAGTCGTAAGAGCACCATATCTCCCTCCTGGAATACCACATCACCCATCTTCAAATCTATTGCTTGTTTCATGTGATAGATGGCCATCCCTAACTTTTGTCCACGATAGTCCAGCTTGGTAAAACAGAAGTGTCGGCGATAGGCTTCCGTAAAGGTCCTGGAAATGCGACATCCCCGTAGAGCCGTGGTAGTTTTTATTGTACCAGTACTCTGCCCATTTCTTTGACCACTAGTGAACAAAGCTATACAGGTATTGCTCCAAGCATCGATCAACCATCTCGGATTGCCCATTCATTTGTAGGTTGTTGGGAGCAAACAAGAAGTCCCACATCGGTTGGGAGAAAAAAAGAAATCCACCAACGTAAGTGGGCTACTCTACCCATTGGCAATTGGTTTGGTTTGGAACCTCACTTGGGCTTGGTGGTGTGGGCTTGGGCCCAGTCAATTTGCTCATTATTTTCCCTACAAATGGTATCAGAGCTTGGGTGGAGGTGAAATCCATGTTTTTGGGTGATTTTTGGCCAAAAAAATTAGCAGAATCGAAGCAGAAGAAGCTGTCCAGATTTTTCAATTTTCTGCCAAATCTGTTTTTGCATTTTTCGGACAAACCAGAAGTCGGATGGAAAAATGGACACCACCGTTGGACTCAAAGGCGGAGAAGATGTCGGAAGGGTGACATGCCGCCGAAGCCGCCACCGGCGCGTGGAAACTCTCCGAGGGTGTGGCCTACGCGTCAACCGGAATTCGGGAAGGTGTCAAAATACAGAATTTTCCCAATGACGAGACGGACCTTACGGTGTTGTCGAATTTCAGTTTCGGGCAATACGGGGAAAGTTGGAGGGTTTTGCCTTTTGGACGCTCGGGTGCCGGGTGTCGTTTTGTGTTGCCACGGTTGCTGGAAACTTTAGGATGAATGGTGACGATCCTAAAATGATGAATTCATAACTCTCGATATTTACGGACCTTCAGACGTGGTCCGCTCGGTATCGTGTTCTTTGCCTTTTATTATTGTAGTTAAAATTATTGTGTATGATAATTTAGTTTTTCCATTAGAAGTCATCGTGTGGGGTAACGTTAGGTTTGGGGTTACCGCGAAAGGGTAACCATTGCCTTTTGTTAAACCTAGGAATTACCTGTTAGTTATTTGCCTTAAATTCTTTATGAAATTGTTGCCAATTAAATTTTTTCATTATTAGAAGTGCTCGTGGCCTTAGAAAAGTTTACTTGACTATTTTGTGTGAATTGTGTCGGTACTTTACTTGTGATCGTTGTTAATTGCATTTTGTGTTCTGTACATTTTTGGGTAAAATGACGACAGATTATGAGTTCTGCATGTTTTAATGAAAATTGTGATTTTTAATTTGGCGAAATGAAAATGTTTTGTTTATAAAACCTTTTGATGGTAAATGTGGTCTAAGGCAAGTGCGAAAATTAAGATGTGTTTTAATTGCAGTAATTTGGACGTGGTTGAAATAGACTGTCCTATGATGATGATAAAAGGAAAGTTGATGAAAATGGTGAGGCAAATTCTGTCATTGGGTCGAGTGATAACCCTAGTAAGGTTTATTGGGTGTTAACCTAGTTACTGCATTTGTATCCGTGTGTAATCCTT